TGAACACAACATATGCATGTGTATGCAGCCACATAACAATTATGAATTCTAATCAAACAGCTCCGACCATTTCAGGGTATTTGTTATTATTATCAAACGTTTTTATCATTCAACTGCATCCGTATGATGCAAATTACTAAACAATATCACACGCAAACACACCCCCTCGGACTGATAAGAACTGATAAACACAATAATACACATTAAAAGAACACTTAAGACGGGTGGCCAAATAAATTCGTATAGCATCATTAAGCAGGTAAAAGTTGTATTTGACTGTTATTAGAACGGCCACGAAAACAGTCCCAGAAACGACGAGAAAAGACTTATCGTTAGCAATGTTGATGTGATTATCATGATTCGTACTAACTAAACTAGATAACTGAGAATCTATTATTGTCACTTGTACAAATAACAATACCATATTGGCCTTATCAGCTCTGAAAATCAGCATGTTTATCGTTATTATTTTTGACTTTCCTGATAAAACCCAGCGCTATCTTTTGACATTTCAACGATGCATTTTTGCAGATAATCAGTGGTATTTTACTGCCAACATTAAAAATAAACCTTTTTCGTAACACAATGTCCCCGTTTCTTTGGCACGATAATTTGTTACTCATACTCTCTATAATTCCATCTGGATCGAACAATCACAAATTCCTCATCAGTCAATTTGGGACAGCATAAATATTCCACATGAAACCATCACCATCCTTCTGGTCATCATTAACACCGAAAACGTTACCAATTTTGTCAGTACTCGCAATAATGTCAACATCACCCATCAACAGTCTCAACAGCATTCAGTGGCCGGATTTCTTATCAACAAACCAAAATTCATCGATACTATTACAAACTTGCATTCATCGAATAAATCCGATGGCTTTCAGCATCCAGCCGTAACACTCATACTCTGAGCTGGCAGACGTCTAGCAGCTCATAACGCAAAGCAATTGAAAGGCAGGCACACCAAATGTCAACGACACTATTCAGAACATTCACAGCAATTCTTCGCATCAACAGTCCCGCAGAAATCAAATTATGACCAGAAAAAACATCAAAATGGATTGAATGAACTGGTCAAATGCCGATACAACGTCGATCAACTCAACTCTAGTGAATTTTCTCAGCATCATGAAGTTATGAGATAATACATAGTTATTATTTTTTTCACTATTGTAATATTGTGATAGCTTCGTTATTATTATTGTCATAGATTAATGCTGTTATTTACTTTTATTAATACTTCTACATTTTCCTTGTAAGACACTATTCCTTTACAAACATAACATCATTCACATGGAAACACATTTCGAAATACAGCAAGTCGGCATCACATGATTCAATCGCCTGGTTGATATTTGGAATGAATTGAATTGATATACGAAAT